AGTGCAGACGCTCTGGTGTCGCCTTTAGAAAGAAATAGGTTGTAAAAATATTTTCGCCGACAAGATAATGAAAACACGTAGGGCCAGACGAAGGCCACTGATGAAATCATTGAACTTGTGGGACAGTCAGAAATAAATTTCGGTGGAAAACGAGATGGTTAAATCCGAGCTAAATGTTTAGTGAGTAAGAGTAAACTCGTTCCGGAGGCGATTGGAATTGGGTGGAAAATTAATTTGTAGTCGCAACTGCAGGCTTGACTGAGCGAGAGATAAAGGTCGTGGGAAGGAAAAACAGCTGCGGGGGTGCTGTCAGACTGGGCATGGCAATGCCATGCCATAATCTCATTGGCACACTTCTGTTTCTGGACAGCACCTTAAAGGACGTCAAAAATGCAGTAATCGGACAGGGAATACGCATTCCTCTGGTGATATGATTCAAGTTAGACAAAGAGATTGACACATGTAAGGTCAGGCCGATGTTAATTCACAGGTAATTTTGGCTCAGTAGGAACCTCGTGGTTGGAAACCGGAGGCCAGTCAGATTGAACTAATGACGGTCATACGGGCGTTTGGGGCAGATACTGCCGACGTTTGAACCGTGGTGAGAGGGTGCTTAAGGAAGAAAAGGATGAGAGCAGTCGCGTTCAGCGAGTGCCAAGGTGTACTCATGCCCCAAAGGTGGTAATCGGCAAGGCCAAACTAATATTGGCTCCAATGGAGTCGGGGAAGCTTTTCACAAAATCTTGGAGCAGAATTGTTGGCAAATATGGATGCCGGGATAAACATTTTCCCGAATCTTCCTCGCAGCAGGTGCCCTGCAAGACAAACGAGAAGTCAAGGAATCCGAAGAAGCTACTAAGCTGAGCATGTTTCTCAATAAGAAACACCACATGAAGCACCGGCCGTCCAGTACGTTTTGTCTAGGGAAGCGGGGAAACCACCTGCCAAGGATGTGATGGGCTTGCAGTTTTGCGTGAAGACTTTGACTCAAGGACAAGTCAGTGGCATAAATACGAATGCCAAGATTAATTCTAGGCTAGAAAAGGTGTACCAAAAACGCAGCAGGTGCCCCGCAAGACAAACGAGAAGTCAAGGAATCCGAAGAAGCTACTAAGCTGAGCATGTTTCTCAATAACAAACACCACATGAAGCACCGGCCGTCTAGTACGTTGTGTCTGGGGAAGCGGGGAGACCACCTTCCTCTGCCCCTAATAATCTTAAACACACCCATAAGGGTTCTTATTTTTTGTGAATTGATAGTGAATCGATGGCCAAGCGAAGAAGAGTTGGGCACCCACATGGCCTTGGTGAAGTGTGGAACGCTCTCTTGTGAAATGCAACAGTTGCTGCCCAATTGATTCGGCATGTTCCTTACCACTAAAGACATGTACAACAACCACCGAAAGTGTCAGCCACCGCAGCTAGGTTGGTGAAGCATAGTTGAGTTTTATTTTGTCAAAAGGTTGGGAGACCGGACGCATGCTTTTGCTTTACTCAGCGAGAGGTACATTTGGCCACATGCGTTTCTTCAACTGGCAAAGTGGTGTTGTTTAGACAATTTTAGGTTTGGTACATGTCAAGAAAAGAAAATAAAGGAAAAGAAAAGCAAAAGCAAAAGTATATATAAAGCAAAAAATATTTGACTGTAATTACAAGCGGTAAACTTTCCTGATCGTGAATGGCATGGGTGCCGGGCGTCCGGTTATGTATGCCTTCTTGGAAAGCCGACAGCCTGCTCCCATGCGTAAAGTGTTCGCCTGCTCAGGGATGTGATGGGCTTGCAGTATTGCGTGAAGAATTTGACGCACGGACAAGTCAGTGGCATAAATACGGATATCAAGATTAATTCTAGGCTACGGCATCATGTGTTAATCTCATATTAGAGAAGCTATCAGGAAGCACATACGTAAAATATAATATCGATTTATTCCTGGACAGGGAAACCGAGAACAGCCGACACATATTTCACTGCATGGATTTCTTGGACAACCCATCAGTAGGATTTTCGCTTTGTCATGGCACGAACACATAGATTTCGGCAATGGTTGAAAACGCTGCGCCGTATAGATACGCGACTCTTTTCGTATACTGCATCCCGCTGGTTGAATAGCACCCAAATGGGCTGTACATGCACAAAACTTGGATAGTCAGCATTGATAATATAACCTAAAACCATCTGGAGAACGTAAACGGCAGCCCGAAAGACGTATGCGGCACTCAGATACACAAAAGCACGCCATACAAGTTTCGAGTGGCTGAGGGAGCATGAGATAAATACGTCACCGAAATGCGAACAACGGTAAAGTTTGGAGAGCGAGGGCTATGATCTGAACGTTGTCTGTCGAATGACAGCTTTTACGTGTTCCCTTGTTTTGGGGCACTTGAGACAGTATCCCCGAAATCTGTACTACAAAAACAAGGTGGGGTCAGCCTATATTAACCAGCTTATAGTTCGCGAGCAAACACACAGGTGCTCTAGACTGTTGGCATCTTTGCCGGAGAACCCACCTTCCCCTTCTACTAGGAGATGTGCTTCCCTTGAATCCATTTGTTTTCTGAATTAAGAGGTCAGTCATTTCCAAGCAGTAAGAAATATTCTTCATAAATGTTTTCCAATTAATTTGCAATCCACCAACGGTGGCTATTGGGTTACAACCTGTTGGAAGAGGGGGCACAAACTAAAGCCGCTCCTAGGCCAGTGCCAACAGCGTTTGACGGCCTGCGTAAACAGCCGAACATAGTGGTGGAAGAGCTTCATGGGGTGGAATCCAGAGGGATGCGGTCATCATTAGGCGGTTGATTGTCCATAGGCAAATCCTGCGGCTCCAGGGTTCACTGTCTGCAACTGACGACCCGCCATCGGTTGTCGAGTGTACTGCAACTAAAACAAAATGGCGGTATGGAGATCTGGAGTAACAAACCGATCGGTGCCAGTGACCGCTGGTGTGCAAAGGATCACATATGATACCACGTCGACTGTTGAGATGGTGAACCTTTTCTTATGTGCAGCAGTGCTCTTCGGGCTTTTTCCAAAGGCGTCTCCACGAATAAATAATATATTTCTAATATATTTCTAGTTTTTAGCCCCCGATTTGTCTGGAAAATGCGATGATGTCCTTGTTAACTGGTCCTCAAAGGAGGTGCTTATTTGTGTTGACCCAGACCAAAGCACATAATCCCAGCACAGTGGCCCCACACGTCTGTGCGCGTCCATTTTTTCGGCTCCATGGTGGCGATAAATTACAGTATGAGTAAACGTCTGACCACCAGGACTGATGCTGTAAAACGCTTGCTGGGGGAAAGAGATGATGATTTCATCTGGCTCATAATGGCCAATCAGCTCCAGAATGTTCGTCTGTTACCGGGACCTTATATACTTCATGTTAGTCCTGTTTTACTTGAGGGTTTTGGGCTGTAGGCACCAAGCTTCAAATCGCGATACGAGTCTGCCGCTGAATATGGCGTTGTGTAGACGCTGGAATGCTCCTTTTAAGGGGTAGGCATTGCTTCCAGTTTTTCGGCCAAATGCCGCAAGGTGATAGTTCGATATCCAAACTTATACCTTCCTTTCACTTCAGGACGTCAGAAGCTCAATGAATGCTACTGTCTGAGATGGACATACGCCACCTACTAGCATATATATTCTGACCAAAACGACCAAATTCAAACTTCCGCGTCGCACCGTGTGGACCTTCAACATTTCGCGGTAGAGACGGATGGACTAGCTCCATCCATCGGGATTCCTTAGCCGTAAGTTAGTCGTGTGCCTCAGTTACTCTGGTTCAGCTGTTTGCTGCGATCAGCTTCGGTTAGATGTAGCTGGTTGATTGGGCATCATGGACCGCTAGCCACATGTTAGACGAGCGTGTCATCAAGTTTCGTTCAGCTGTCCGCTATTATCCACTAGACGGCCATCCTGCTGTTTAACGTAACACGGTAAAGTGCACTAACATCTGCAGGCCTCATACTTTTTCAAAATCGAACGATCTATCCGACAATGGACCGCTAGCCACATGTTAGACGAGCGTGTCATCAAGTTTCGTTCAGCTGTCCGCTATTATCCACTAGACGGCCATCCTTCTGTTTAACGTAACACGGTAAAGTGCATTAACATCTGCAGGCCGCATACTTTATCAAAATTGCACGATCTACCCGACAACAATATATAGATCCTAGACAGCTCAGTCAATTATTTCAGCTGCAGAGCTGTCTGTTGCTTTCGTCCATTGTTAGTGACTCATGTTTTATCACAATTCACGGTATCCTGATACACTAGGCACCGTTTTATCAGTCGATGGCTGACGACCTAGAAGATCTGCTCACTTAAACACATCACTCATACCGATAATTTGCAAAATAATTCGTTATGTATGGCCAGTCTTAACCACGATGTTGTAACCCAGAAAACGGCGTAGATTTCGATAATCCAATTCCAGTGTGCGAATAATGAGCATAGGTTATTTCGTTAGCTGCTTTCTTTGTACGTGCTGGTCGTGTTTGGTATCCTTGAAATCTCACTCGATTAAACAAACGACTGTGGGCAGTATATCACTCAGATGTGTAGCCAGAATACACCAACTTTCAAAAAATTTATAACTTGAAAAATGAATTTGAAATCAACTTCAGATTGTTTCCGATGGGCGTCCATTTAGCCCCCAACCCGTCATGACCACTCAAATCACTGTGCTTCATGCGTCTGTTCTGATGCATTGCACTTCCATACAAGAAGGGCCGAATCCCCTATTGAGGACTATCTAAGTAATTACATTATATAGTTCTATGATGTATCTCGTTCAGATTTCACTTCCACACAAGGATTTGATAAGCCATCAGATTTCTTAACTGATTTTTATATCTCAGATTCACCAAACTCCCTGAAAAACCAACCATTGCGAGTAATGAAACCCGTAATTCCTTCTTTTTGAATGCTAAAATTTAATCAATAACCGAAGAATGTCATCATCATCATCATCGACAGCATGGCATCAGTGTTGAACACTGATGCTTCACTGCCGTATTTCTGAGACACAGCACACATCATAGCCAAGCGAGTCCAGTGTAAGTGCAAGAGCAGCTTGTTGTCCTGCTTGCTTCAGAGTGCGAACATTGAGCGCGGCCAGATAGAGTGGGTGTCGAGGCTTGAGGACTGAATTGGAGATTCCTGAAGATGTCGGCACCATGTGACGAGTAGATGCTTCACGCAAAACCGATGCATGACGAACGGAGTCATCAGTCCTATGTGCTGGGCCTACAAGGAGAGAGTTATTAATGGGGTGGGGGGAGGGGGAAGAAAAAGTATGTGAAGGAGAAAGAAGGGAGGCGTTAGCAGTAGCCTGTTTTCGCTTACCCGCCCTGCTGTATGCAGCAAGTAAGGCGACCCGGCTGACGGCACCACGAGACGGCCGATGTGGCATGAGTTTATTTGTGTATATGTAAATCATGGTTGTACGTGGGCTGGGATAATGCCAGGGCGCCACATCTAGACAGAAAGATGATTAGGGTTGTCGCGATTTGTACCTTTACTTTACTTCTATTATAACACTACGTAGTTCATCAATTACATAATCGTTTTTTGTTTGAACATGAAAAACTACAAAAACGCGCACTTGTACAATTTCACATAATACGAGCGTGGTTACGTAATTCGACTCTCTCTTCTGATTTCGTTCGCGCTTGCAGAGGTCATTCGCGAGTCTCATGTATTAATTCTGGTACCAAAACATTTCAGACATCTTCGGGATCTATTATATGTGAGAACTGTTCAGAAGACCTCTGGGCCAACATAATTTGGTTGTTGTTTATTCGCTGACCTGGGCCAACGACGAACCATTTTAAAGAGGACCATTGTTAGTGAGTCTGTTCCATCTAATCTCTTTATTTTTGTATACCCAACCTAGCGTTATTATTTTTATTTCTTTGCCACACACTCCTGGTAAACTAACTTATTGGGTAGACAGACCACTACACGGTCCTCAACCAAAACCTTTGGCTCAAAAGTCTAACCGACAGGTGGCGTTTGGCGGAAAATGCAAATTTATTACCGTCTCCGCATGTTTCAACCCCCAACCTGGAGGGCCAGGAGACTGTGTCCGTCAGACTTCTAGCCATTGACCAACCTGGTGTGAGACTCTGTGAGTGTCGCGGGACACCCTCCAGTATAGCTCAATGGATCACTGAGGTGCGCAAACCGTCACACCACGGTAAGGTCCAGTCTCTTCGTGACGGAAGAATGTATCATACACAAAACGAACCGCTGACTTTCAGCTACTGTGGAAACCCACTGAACTTACTGCTTTGCTAAGTCCACGAGGTTGACCTTGAATTTTGTTTTGGAACGGTTTTGAAATCATTTTGGGTAACTGCGCATGGCTGCTGAGAGAAGAGCTTCAGCAGCTGTTAGCGATTTCGCAGTTGAAAGCATCACGGATATCAAAGATTCTTTCAACAGGCATCTGCATTTTGACGTTGTTAAAGACAGAAATGTGGCCACTCCCAGGGATTTCTATCAGGCGCTGGCACACACTGTATGGGATAAGCTTTGTTCCCGTTGGATACGTACTCAACAATTTCACAGAATGAACGATCCAAAAGTAAGTGTCGATAATTAGGTAATATCACTATTACCAAAACTTTTCGTTTTTTTCATTCTTGAGACCTATGAGGAGCTCATGAATGGCTTCGTAGGATTTTACTAACTAATATAAGCCTACTTTGGTTTACCTGCACTGCAACAGCGTTTTTCACTGTTTGTTCCAGCTGAACTCCGTCTTGGCCTAGGGTATAACGTTTTTTACATACAATTTCCGGCGACTTGCACGGTTTCTACATGCATGTGATGCGCGTGTTTTTGAAACAAATCAATGACACCTAATGCGCCATCCAATGACTATGTGTACTATAGGCCGCAAATGAGGTATTTATCTTGCAGGTCCAATTTGTATGAGACGAACCATCAAGAGATTGTTTATGACGTTGTGGTAATAGCATCAGCCATAATTAGGTCAATCGCGGAATGTAAAAATATTTAATTCTCAGTTTGGTTACCTGGCGACAGATCTACGCGCCGATAGTAAGTAAACGGTCTGCACAGGACTCATCAGGTTGAGTAGGGTAAAAGCCTGACTTCTCATGCCTCATACAGTGTTAGAGTTTTGGGGTTTGTCCCTTCCATTTTAGGTCTCACAGCTTGGGTTCTTCAGCAGTGCATTACCGCTCATGCTTGTATTTTTCCAATCGATGATTTGATGCATCGTTGTGACGGACACGACGTGGGGGGTTAGTGAAGTGCACACTCAGCAGACAGACAAAAAGTACAAGAATGTGTGACAGTTCAAATGCATACGCCAAACGGACCTCAGTTCACTGATTCGGAGTTCGGTGATGGCATCGGGTTTGAGCAGTGGGAGTGAAGGATATTCTGGTAGTTACCCCGCTAGCACAAAGTGTCCATTGTCACCTATCCATGAGTGCCTTTCTTAATATAGGACGAATTCGTCCATTTTGACGAACCTGCTGTAAGTCGCTCAAATGAATATGAATATACCACTCACGAGCGACTCCGAATAGGTGTATAGGAAGAGAAATATACATGAGCTATACATGAACACGCAGACAGTAATTGTGAATATATATTAAATTAGAAATTTCCATAAGATAATATGGAAAGTATACGTTAACCTCATAAAGGGTGCTACATATGAGGTTGCTGAAAACACTTCGACAGTTCATGAACGTTTTCACTCTTCTTGAGACCCATAAGGTTGGCGCAGTCCCCAAGTTTCCGTCCAGCTGCGCTCTCCGGTGCCTCAATAGTTTCAGCGTACGTAAATTGTCTTGGTGGTGAAGATTTACACGGCCTTGGGACTGAAGTCAGAAAGTTTGTTGGGGGTGACTCGGCCCTAATTCATGGCCCACACATATAACGATTTTTCTACCAACCCACATCTGATCAGCCAAGTATATTAATAATGCTACCTATATATTTTGTAAACAATCGAATCATGACGAAAAATGCCCGTGGTGGTAATAAGTATCGAATTACGTTCATTCCGTCAGCTATGCAAGAACCTCATTTAAGCTGAGATACTGCGTGACACTAACATTTCTTCCAATGTCCCGAGGGAACCATTGCCTAGACATTGCTGTACGATCACTCATCGGTTCCTATAGCGTTTCATGTGCTGGATTTCCTGTGGACTTAGCAGGTATGAGGCTCAGAAAAACAAATCATCATCACCCACAGCATGACATCAGTGTTCAACAGCGATGCTTCACTGCCATACAACCATGATTTATCTGAAAGCCTTATTGTAAAAAAAGAGAATGAAGGTTGGCGGAGAAGGGAATTAGTGCTAGCTTCCGAGGTGCATACACCTCGAGACATTGACTCAGGCAATCTGGATAGTAACTGACAACAAGAACGCCACTGACATCGGTCGGCAGCCATATCCAACCAGGCACAGTGAGGATCACGCTGTTCCCATCCTAGAAGGCGAGTAGCACCGACAACACCCAAGCGTTTCGTGATCTCCTTCATACTCGTCTGCCAAGTCAAGAGTTGGCGACCTCTCTGTCTACGCTACTCTGAATCGGGCATGAAAAACGGCACTCTTTGGCAAACGATGGTTCGGCATATGGAACACATGTCCCAACCAACGCAACCTCTGATGCTGGACATATACTTCAGTAGAATAACAACTGATTTGCATTTGACTGATTGGAAGTTGCGTCTATATCTGCCTGTGTAATTCTTTGATCATGATGACTACAGTTGGGTATTCAGGTCCATCGGCAAATAGCTGAAAGAGAGTGTGGGTCGTTCAAAAAGGCAAGATGGTTAAGTGGTCTCAGTACTCATCCTTTCGAGACTTTACACGAGCCAAGTGGGAGTCAGTTAACCGTTTGGTGACCCGAACCCTGGTGGCTTTCTTTTGGATATAGCAGGATGTTCACTATAATGGTAACCCTTGGGTGTAACAGGTAACCAGTTTTTGCGGCGAGAATTTGTGTTGCACGCGTTTGTGTGAAATTTGAGGTTACTAGCTCCAAACCTAAATGCCTTGTTAAGTTCTTTGATATATATGACACCTCAAAAGTGCAGTAGTATGCACACGATCCCGGAAGACATCCGTTAGGTAAACCTTCCATGTATGTTTGCAGCTGACTTTGGACTGAAATTGGAGTAAAGCAGGTTGCCTGTAATTTTCAGGCTAGACCTTCTACCGCCGTCACAAAATTGAGTCAATTGTCTAGTTCCAAATGAAGCAGAATATAGCTGACTTTGGACTGAAATTGGAGTAAAGCAGGTTGCCTGTAATTTTCAGGCTAGACCTTCTACCGCCGTCACAAAATCGAGTCAATTGTCTAGTTCCAAATGCAGCAGAATATACACAACTGCTTCTATCAGCTAATAACTAGTGACGCCGACAAATCATCTGGCAGATAATTTTTTGGTTTAATTTTTAAATTCTGGAGGAAGAATTTTGTCATCACTTTTACATATTTTGCGGCACCTGCAAATTTTTTGGGGGGATGGGTTTATGTGCGTGTATAGAGTAATAACTGGGTTAGGAATATAAAGCTGTAAAAAGAATGTTGGCTGGTTTTTTCACTGGACGCAGAAAATTATTTCTAACACATATTGAGGGGTTCTGTGCTCCACCTTGTTCAGTATCCTAACGTGTTCGTATGAAAGCTTAAGGTCCGCTGTGAAGTTGACCATCAGTGAAGCTGACCACTTTCTGGTATTTTCTTGTTCTGGAGAAGTGAAGTGCTGAGAAAGCTTTTTGACTTCACCGTAAGGCCTAGCAAATGGTTCTTTTATGGCAAAAATAAGTATCGTCTCTTTTATCAAACCGTTTCTTAGTCTAAATTCTTGTCGTTCCTTTTGTTTCAGTGAAAATAGCGGATGCTATGGTTTGAAAATCTGATTTTGTAAAGCTCATGACTCTGTGAAAGTTCTCTGGGCTGTAGCTGCTCCAAGGAAGTCCAGTCACCAGCTCATACTAGGCCTTCCAGGAAAGGTAGGCTGTTTACCATCCGATATAAGTCACACATTTGAAAACGAGAGAAATGTGATCACTGCGGCCTAAAGAAGTTTGATGGTTGATTGCTTCAACCGGTAGTTCATCCTTGGCCAGAAGGTTATCAAGTAGTGAAGAAGTGCTTGCCCCTGATACCGTCCGGCATAAGTAAATAGCGGAGCACATTTCATGAGGTTAGTCAGGGTGTTTCTAGGAAACGTCTCCGGAAGGACTCTGTAGGGGGCATACTGTTGAGGTTCCTTGTACTGGGAGCATGCGCGATGATAAATGACCATTTTCTCGCAGCAATTATTGAGAGGACGGTGATCATCCGTCACCAACCAAATCAGAGCATCTAGTCTTCAAATAAAGGGACTGGGAGGTCAATGGATGGTTCAATTACATTCAGTTCCCCTGTTATTGCAAAAGGGTTACAATCCGCTTTATGAACGTCAGTCGTGACGGATCAATGAAAGATTTGAGATCTGGATGCTCGGTTCACGTAGTAATTGACACGGGGTTTCTTGATGGCGATGGAGATATTTGGTGTGCAGAAGTGTATGGGAGATCTGGAGTAGACGCTTTTAATGATATGAGCCTTTTTGGATATGGAGTTTGAGTAGTACCGGTCAAAACTGGACCGGCTCGTGGAAGTAATTGCACTCCTGAGTCCGATTCTGGTTGCTTCAGTTTGCGATATGAGCACATTTGAAGTTGGCCGGGAGTTAACTGGTCGTTTTGCTATACCATCATTTTGACCGGTAGATTTCTGTGTCTGGAGAAGCTGGACCTCAAAAAACAAGAATTGGCGGTTGGTTCACCAGGCTTTGAAACCTTCATTGACCCTTTTTGGCCAATGCCCACCACTCATGCAGTTGACAGACGTGACAGTAATCAAAGATAAACTTTGTGTTTTGGTTATACGCAATATGCTACCTAAACGTTTGCCGCCAAGGCGTAAGATCTCAACAGCGGATGTAGTTTCAGGTCAAATAACAAGCCTAAGCAAATGTTTTATCAACCGCAGTCTGTCAGACACTTTCAACCTAATGTTGAAGGTTTTTTCAAGTTTTTTCATTACAAGACTTTTGCTGAATAAAAACTACAAGCTTTTGGGGCTATTCTGTCGGTTGGTAGGTAGCACCTATCAATGAGGTGGCCACAAACACACCGGTTTAAGCAACCGAAACGGAGTGCCAGAAGCAATCCACATGTTTCAGTAAAATCTTCGGTGTTTAGGCCTCGGTTTCCACAAAAGAGAAGGGCGTTTATCAGTGTTCATCCTGTTAGACTGAGTTCTCAACACCTGAGAAGAACAGAAAGGAGTACGCTACCAGGCTGACTGGTGGTTTCGTTAGATCATTTCGGGTCCGTTTTGCTGGTGACTAAACCCAATTACTTAATTTCCTCGATTTACTTTGTTTAGGTCTGTTTATAGGAATGAGTAAGCTTCATACATGTCGTGGATCGTGTGTGCATCCCACCTACTTTTCTGACTAACTATATCTTCATGATGTACGGTCCAGACCCAAAGAAGAGCGGCCGTATAAGTGGTTCTTGAACGCCTG